GGCCGCCGGGGCCTGTTGTGGGGGCTGCCTGGGGCCAAGGGGCTTCGCTTCGGGTCTGACGCTGAAACCAGGCGCTTGCGGCAGGTCCTGCGGTGCTGCTGGGAGGCTGGAAGCGCCCGGTGGGCTGCTGCTGGCAAGGACTTCGTGACGGTAACGCACCAGCTGCCTGGGCTTTCTCATCTCAAGTGTGGCCAGCAGGTCGAGGGAGGTTCTCCTCCCCCTCTACTCTGCCCTGGTGAGACCCCACCTGGAGCACTGGGTCCAGTTCTGGGCTCCCCAGTTCAAGAAAGATGAGGAACTCCTAGAGAGAGTCCAGAGGAGGGCAACTAGGATGATAAAGGGACTGGAGCATCTCCCCTACAAGGAAAGGCTGAGAGAGTTGGACTTGTTCAGCCTGAAGAAGAGAAGGCTGAGAGGGGACCTCATCAATACATACAAATACCTTAAGGATGGAAGTCATGAGGACAGAGCCAGACTCTTTGCAGTGGTGCCCAGCGCCAGGACAAGGGGCAATGGGTACAAACTGAGACATGAGAGGTTTCAGTTGAATATGAGGAAAAACTTCTTTACTCTGAGGGTGACGGAGCACTGAACAGGCTGCCCAAGGGGGTTGTGGAGTCTCCTTCTCTGGAAATATTCAAAGCCTGCCTGGATGAAGTCCTGTGTAACATGCTCTAGGAGAGCCTGCTTGAGCAGGGGGGTTGGACTAGATGATCTCCTGAGGTCCCTTCCAACCCTTGCGATTCTGTGATCTCTTGCAGACCACCTCTCCGCTTTCTCCTCCTCCCCTTTGCTCCCTGACGATGTTCCCCCTTTTGTTCTGATCTTGCTGTGCACTCTTGAGACACTCTCCTTTCCTTCAGACTACTAGGAGACAACTACCAGTGCCTGCTCGTCATCCCCCTGCGCCCTCCCATCCCGCTTCTTGGGAAGGGGTAGCCCTCATGCACTTGGACACCTCCTGGCTTGGGAAATGAGGTGCTAGCTCAGCTCCGCTGGGATTCTCAGTTCCTGGAGAAACACTGAGGAGCGAAACCCCGCGCTGCGTTTTTCCAGCAGCTAGAAGGTATAAGATGTTGACTGGCAGCAGGGCGCTTCCAGCGGACAGAAAAAGCCACCCCAAAGTTGTGGGGGGGAATCTATGACCCTGCACCACCTCTGCTGCTGAAAGCTCATCTGAGAGGTGAATCGTAGCAACTAGTCCTTTCCAACAGCTGAAGGAAATGGTTGTTCAACTTACAAAATAATTGCAAAGTAGATGTAATCAGGGTCCTGATTCAGCAAAGTATGCGCTGAAAGGGGCATGTGCTTGGCTTCCAGAATATCCCTGTGTGTATGTGTGCAGCTGAACTGGGGGTCCTGTGCTCAGAGCATCTGGTTCTTGCGTTAAGATGGGAGCAGTTCTCGTCATCTGATTGCAATGAAAATTTTCCTCGATTAAATTGTTGACCAAGCAGCTGCAGCAAAATGCAGCTGGGTTGTCCCTGCTCCCCTCTGCTCTCAAGCATCTGGAACTCAAAAGCACCCAAGAAATGGGGCCAGAAGGGAGAAAGAGAATGGGATGTTGAGATGAACACCTGAGATTACAGACACAGCAACCCAGGTGGGGCAGGGAAACAGAGGCTGGGGCTTAGGGAATTGCAGGGAAATCCCAGGTCTCTGGTTTTCTGGGTGAGCCCTCTGAGCACTGAAACTTTAACATTAGGCCAGAAAGGGAATCACAGAATCGCAAGGGTTGGAAGGGACCTCAGGAGATCATCTAGTCCAACCCCCCTGCTAAAGCAGGCTCTCCTAGAGCATTCTACACAGGACTTCATCCAGGCGGGCTTTGAATATCTCCAGAGAAGGAGACTCCACAACCCCCCTGGGCAGCCTGTTCCAGTGCTCTGTCACCCTCAGAGTAAAGAAGTTGTTCCTCATATTCAACTGAAACCTCTTATGTTTCAGTTTGTACCCATTGCCCCTAGTCCTGTTGCTGAACACCACTGCAAACAGACTGCTTCCATCCTCGTGACTTCCGCCCTTAAGATATTTGTATGTGTTGATAAGGTCCGCTCTCAGTCTTCTCTTCTTCAGGCTGAACAAGCCCAACTCTCTCAGCCTTTCCTCGTAGGGGAGATGCTCCAGTCCCTTTATCATCCTAGTTGCTCTCCTCTGGACTCTCTCTAGGAGTTCCTCATCTTTCTTGAACTGGGGAGCCCAGAACTGGACCCAGTACTCCAGGTGGGGTCTCACCAGGGCAGAGTAGAGGGGGAGGAGAACCTCCCTCGAAGGAAGGAGCGGACAGACTATTGTTGCTTGGAGACAAGCAGTTCTGTCATTCTTAAATCGATTATTTGATCAGGATTTATCAGAACTGCTGGCTGCCAGCAGGAACCAAGCAAGTGGTCCAGAGGATGGATGCAAATGTTGTTACTCGTTATCTTCTGGCAAGCTGTGAAAGTTTCTTCAGGATCTTCTGGCCTTTAGATTTTGATCCTGTTCAGGGGAAGGTAACCAAAGCAATAGCCTCTAGCATTGTAGCACCTTGTGGTTCCAAGCAGCCTAGCAATCCTAACTAGGTAACTCTTTGGCACGCTCCAGAGACACAGCACCTGTCTTGCACTCGCAGCCTGAGGACATGCGGGGAGGTTAAGTGACTTGCCTAAAGTCAGAGCAGCGTTGTAGGGGTTATAGGAACCGAAGTGTTCCTGCCTCCTTGCACACCATCCATGGATGGAGTTCCGAAGGGCAGGAGGTCACACCGGGCAGCCCACCGTGGCTTTGATGCTGGATGTCTT